GTCAATGGAAAAACTGTCCAACCTACATACAGAGGTTGTGTGCTGAACAAGCGGCTATTCCGAGATCAGGGTGCGCCAAAGGGTTGCACTTGGGCCAATTTTTCAAGTTTTATATTTTTCTACTTTCAGTGCAGAAAATCGCACTAGAGGTGTTGCCATACATTGCACTTTTTAAATTTTTGGATAGAGACGTTTGGTTCAAAAGTTGTGCTCTTCCAAACTTAGCCCATTCATTTCAGATGTGGCCGGCAACGGACATTACAGCTAAGCTGTAGTGTCCGTTGCCGGCCACATCTGGCCACTCAAGTACATGACAAGAACACCAAATCTTGCAAGACCTGTCATTTATGGGTTGACAAAATGCTACAGAAGTAACATAAATGACAAAATTACTTCAAAATTGCAACAAAATGTAATTAATGTACCTATATGGTATACTTGGCAACGGACACTACATGGCAACGGACACTACACCCTTGAGGTTTTTTGACATTATTTCATATAATTACAGCAATAGACTGAAATAGCTACTGTGTTTTAAGTCAGCATCTTCAGCTGTTTCAAAACCTGAAATCATATGCACCCACAGCTTTTCTATTTTAAGTTATTACCGAGCAACGGACACTACACATTTTCTCGGACAAAAAGACAGGTAACTGTAAGCCATCAGCCATATTAACCCAAAGGACAAGCAACATAAAAACACATGTTTTGTGTCATATATGGATGTACCTTGCATAACATGCAAAATGGCCAGTTCTATCACCATCTTTTTTAGTACAGGGAGATAAGTTAATTGCAATGTGTTAATTTATGAATTTTACATAACGTGTACAACATATTGATAAATACGCTCTAGAAAAGAGAAATTTCCAATCATCATCAGGTTTTTTGCAAAAAATATCAGACTGAGCATGTCTGAACATATTGCAAATCTTTTCATTCCATTTTTTTGTTCCCAAATTACTTAAAAGCATATTTTAAAAACTGGCATTTTTCAAGTGCAACAGCATAACATAGATTTTATGCCAATTTCTGGTCTTAAATTGGCCATAGCATAAGTTTTAAACATCTTAACACCAAATCTCTTCCTGATTGTCTGGAAAATAACTGTACTAGTATAACAAGTTTGATAAATGTCAACAGAATGCGATATATACAGAATAAGATTGACATAACGATGCACGATGCCATTGGCGCACCCTGATCTCGGAATAGCCGCATGCAAAAGAAGGGAAAACAACTCATTTTGTTACATGTAAGTTAACTTTATAGTTACTGTACAACAACATGCTTCTACACCACATCAATTCTTATTGTGTTGCTGGATGTGTTAATTCTTCCTACTGCCTAACCCAATAACCAATCGAGAACTGGAAGCCAAATGGCTGCTTAAGTATGCTTAAGATTAAGGTACAAGTTTTATATGTTGAAATCTTACTACAAGAGAGGATGGTGAACACCCAATGTGGAAGTGTTGTCTCAAGATGTTGTACAGAAAAAAAATGTTATGATCCTCTATTTTTCTTGTCTCTCCTCGTGATAAGAATCTAAGAGTTCACAACGTTGTAGAATTGATATCACCCAAGAAACTTCTTTTTAGATTAATTGCTTACATGTACATGTGATTCAGGGATAGATATTTCTTCAGTGTTTACAGCATATGGTCAAAGCTGTCTTGAATTTTTGACTGGTATTAAATGTCTATCCACAGCAATAAAGTCATGTTTCTGTTGTGTATGGAAATAGTGTTTCTATTTAGATGCACAAGTCCAGATACATCAAAGAACATAAGGCCACACCAATTTAATTTCTTGGTTAACAGATTTTCCTAGAAAAATTATGGAGCGGGCGGGCGAAAAAAAAAAAAAACTAAAAACAGGCCTCATCATCATCCGTCGTCCCTGTCGGGCGGATGGCCCTAAATTGTACGATAGGAGCCATGAAGTCAACATACCAGGCTGGTTCAAAATTTAAACAATGAATTTTGAACTTTTAATGATACCACTGCATTGAAAGATAAAATAACTGTAACAACTAGGAAGAAAAGGACTATTTTCAACTGTTCAGGGCAAAATATGAGCATTTTGCACTTGATTCTGAATTTTTATTTTTATTTGCAAATCAGAAAAAAATGAAGCGGGCAAATCCGTTAACCAAGAAATTAAATTGGTGTGGCCTAATAATAGTATATCATAACAAAATTAGATTGCAATCAAGTGCTGTTGCAACCAACCAAGTGATGTATTCAATGCTATAATCACAGACCTTGTCAGGTACCATATCTGTTGTTTACATCATAGTCAGCCCCTGGGTCACTTCATATACACAGAAATCAAACTTCACGCTGAGTTTTTAAAGAGCCAGAGGTCTGTTTTGGTAATTTGACATTGAAAATGCATTAGGAACAGACCCAGCCTAGCATGAAGTGCCTGCTCTCATTGACCTCATGGCAGGGTCAAAATGTGATCGTATTTTTTCTATTTGACTGTCAGTCTTCTCTCTTCATGACTAAGGTCTAATGTTTCAGTTATGGATGTTCCTTTATGGATTATAGTATTTCAAAAGTCCTTGAAGATAATATGACCGTAATTGTAAACTACACCTTCACAATCCAAGTAATTGTAGATTTGAAGAAAAAGTATGTTTCTTGTGTATGCAATATACACGCTTTCTTCTCAATACTAAAAATATGATTATATATCTTGCACCCAAGATGATTTTTGTGTGACCATCACAATCTGAATAGTAGATTCTAATCATCTAAGCTTGAAACATCTGTAAAACATTCTGGCACATTGTTTTCTCAAAGATGTGAAAACAAATCTTTGCAACTAGATGAACTGGAGCTCTCCAAGGGCCTCTGTCCTAAACATCTTCATCTGAGACAGACCTATTTCCTGTCTGGTGCATCCCTGGGAATGGTACTGATTAGTTCGTGCTCTCGTGTAGGTCTGTCAGGATACTTGAGATCTCTAGAGATATGTCTCAAGGACAGAAACTTCCTTAGGTGAGTATCTTTATCATATGGGTATGGGTATGGGTGGCATTCTCATCTGTTGCAATTGGCTCCATCAAGGACAATGTATGCAGTGTATTGCAGAAGGTTTTTGAAATCTTGACCGTCTGAAACACTTTTTTCCCGCATTTTAAAGGGGAAAATTTTGATGGTAAGCTAAGCTGAACTAGTTTAATGACATTATTAACAATATCTTTACATGCCAATTTTTGTCCATAAAAGATGACAGATTGGACAAAACTTTTGGCAGTCAAATGATGGAAAGCCGATTGGACACTGGCTGAAGCACACTGAATGTGTGTCTGACGCAGAGGAAAGGATATATTCTGAGCTTCTATTTGTTCTATAACTCTGCATCTTTAAGGAAAAAACTTGATACCACAGACAACTTTATCTTTACCTTCAAGAAATCCAAAGAAAACTTCTTTCCACTTGCCATTTTTTCTTAGTCTTGAACCTACATCTAGGAAAGAGCAACCTTGAACATAGATCTAGCTTTAAGAAGATAACCCCGACCTACTGCAATTTGTATGAACAACTTTGATCCTTATGCTAAGCATCAGATAATGATCCTGTCAAAACAGATCTTTTCTCCTTTACCTTTGTCATGTCTAGATGAGTCCAGTGTATATGTCTCAGGCTTTAAAGTTCTTGATTAGAATGTCAGTCAGAACTAATGAGCATGTGTTGCCTTCCAGGCGAATCAAGTTGTGATTCCTTGAAGAATTAACTTCTAGTGCTCTGTTGATTGAAGGCAACCATGTTGGAAAGAAGGAATAGATGCTCACATTATTACTGTTTGTTAACTGTTAATCGGGTTGAAGAAAATTAATACTTAGTCAAGTATCATCATCATATTGAAGAGAATACAAAATAAGGTCACCACCAGAAAGTAAGTTTTATCAAACAAAATCAGTCATCTGACAAAGACTTGACAGAGGAGTTGTACAGTCGAAAAGTTGGGTAAGTGTTGGAACTTGCAGTTCAAACTTGGTCTAGAAATCAGTCATCAAACAGAAATTGCAAAAAAAATCCTTAACAAAATGCAGTATACATGTACTATACATTCCAATATCAGCGGTCATTAGAGATTAGCTGTTCTCTGTTATCCCTTTGGCTGTGGATAATCTCTTTCCTCGTGATTATGGTGCTGTGTTGACAGGCCCAGAGCAAGCAGAGTGTCAGAGCAATTTTCTCCATCAGGTACAGTTTCACCAGAAAAACTCCAGGACCAGTTTGCGGTTCCAGTATCAGACATCTTGTTAGCAAATTCCCAGACACGGTCAGACCTAAAGTTGATTAGAATGGCCCTGTGTAGAGAATGGATACGTGTGCTATTGCAGGTGATGATGAACATAGCTCACCTCAGAACTAGAAAAAAACGACAGAGCTGAAACAGAAATGAGTCAGGCTGGAAGTTTTAGCCCTCGGCATGTGACAAAACTTGTTGGTCATTATCCAATAGGTTGCTCAAACTCAGTTTTATCAGCTGATCATGAGTTAGGGTATGTACAATGTAGCGTAAAAAGTAGAACGAAAAGAGAATTGGAATTTGCTCAGTATCCTCTTTCTGACATTCAGGACAAATAGGAAAGTGTAATACAAGCTGTGACATAGTACAAGATTATTGAAAAGAATCCATGGAAGCAGTTTCAACACATTTCTCTTTGAACTGTATTTCCTCTTCAGTCCAGCCCTTTATCTATCCAATTAAGTCCTTTTAAAAGACGTCAATACAAGTTGCTAAAGTTTCATAATAATTTTTTTACAACAACAAAGTCCAACAAAATGCAGGAATAGACCTTCAAGTTTTCTAAACTTGTCTCATGGCAATAACTGTTTGTCAAGATATCATAGAGTTTGAAATGTATGAATTTTTCCAGCCCTTGAAAGTGTTTCAGAAAATACAGTTTGGCACTTGTCAGAATCAAATACCAAGTCAAA